TACGGATTGATTGGGTTATTGCTGGGTCGGTTGGGGGGGAAATTTGGGCTTGGGATGGTTTATGTGTAAAAGAAATATTGCTAATGTTATTTCTTTGACTGTTTTTTAGGTCATCTGGAAAGAGAGAAATGATATAACTTTTAATAGTGTTGAAAGTAGTACTAATGGATTAAAAGATAGGTGGATTCATTATGTTGGGTCTACTTTATTAGGTGATAACATGATTAGTGATGTAGATTTTGGGAATGTCATAGATACTCTCACTTCATTGTAAATCCTTGTAAATGAGTGGTACCCCTATTTTTTATACTTTGTTAATATATACCTTACATTTTTTATCTCAAAAAAATAACATTTCTTGTTTCTTAGCTTTGATAGGCTGTTTCTCTTTATCTTCTTTGTTAACTGCAAATATTTTTGGATGTTTATATTTATTCATCTAATTTATAGTAACATGTTTCAAAAACTACATCTTTTATGCCACAAATAAAATGATAAGGGTTAGTAATCTCCTCATGTTGAGTATTTCAATTGCAAGGCTAATGTTTCACCTAGAAGAATATGTGTGGATATCATAGGAATAACATAACACAAGATTGAATCACTGCAGGTACCATGATGAAAAGAAATAAGACTTTGCTGAGTTGCAAATGTAGCGCCCGGAAAGGGGCCGAAAAAGAAAAAAAAGAAAAAAAATAAAAATAAAGCCACATCGGCAGCCACGTCAGCAGGCCCGGCCAACCGGGACCTGCCACGTGGCAAGACCACGTCGTTCCGGAACGGGCCACGTTGGCGATCCGCGTAGGCACGATCGGACGGCCCAGATCAAGCGTGCGATCGGACGGCCCAGATGAAATCGCACGGACGACTCAGATTCAATAAAAAACGGACGGCCCAGATTAAAACAAAATGGATGGCTGAGATCAAAAGGCAAAGGGTTATAAATAGAACCCCCACACCAGACCACAAACCCTAGCCGCCTGCCGCTCGCCGGAGAAGACGAACCAGAAGCCGGACGCCGCCACCCGCTGCCGCACCGGGGAAATTTCCGACCGCCGATCGAGGTAAATTTCGTACTCCCGACTCGTTTTTCCACGCTGATTCCTCCTGTGGCCAAATCGGAGCCGAAATTCCGGCCAAACGGCCGGAATACACGGCCGAAGCCCAGCGGCGCCGCCGCGCCCCTTCTCGGTTTTTGCCTCCGATGAGGCCCTTCCCGGCCTCCGTTTGATGCAATTTTTATATCACCGTGATCACCATTCTTTTCTCTACAGGTTGACCGGAGCCGAATCACCAAAACACGAATCTCGCCGGAGAGCCGCCGCACCCGAGAGCGCCGCCGCCGGTAAGCTCCGTTTTTCCGTGATTTTTTGGCCCCCCGAGGGCCCTAGGGTTGTTTTCTCGCAGGGACCGATGCGAGTGTGGCCGAATTCGGCCAGAGACGGCTGAAAACAGCCAGTCCGAGGCGAATCGCCGCCGCCAGCGGTGGTGCCGTCGCCGGAGCACGGCGGAGCCGCCGTGCCGGAGTTGCGATATTGGCCAAAAGGGGCCCTGGGCCTAATTTGGGATTTTTTTGGAACACGTGCAGGTACCAGTAGTGCGTTTCAGTTCCCCGAGAAAAATTCAGGGAAAATTAGGGACAGCCTGTAGGCGCACTGTGAAGCCGTGTTCGGACCCCGAAACGTGTAAGGACCCCTCACTTTATTTCCTATCACAGTTTTAAAGTTCAATAAATGATAGAACGGTATTTCATGAATCAACGAATGTGTGAAATTGATTAAGGTCGCTAATGGAGCCCAAGTCTAGTGTATTTGTCGGTTAACTATTATTTGGCCTGTTTTACAGTTTTAAATGCAGCATGAGGTTCGATGTTTTCATTTTATAGTTTCGTATGCGTATTTTACTGTTTTATTGATTATGGATTAAATGACCGGGATATTGATGCTGTATGTTGTCTGTTTAGCATAAATTACTGTTTGCCTGCTTGTATGTGGATTAATGATGCTGACTGAGGAAAAAGAGAATGAAAAATTATGTAAATGGGTAATGGTATAATGTGGTCAGTCTGACTAGATATCCTGGTAGATGGTGGACGGACCGGGTCCGTAGGGAACCCTACCGGGATTGTGGTCTCCCATACCGGACGGGGTATGGAGATCTTATGTGTTTTGGCGCTCATACCGGACGGGGTATGGGGACGGCCCGTTTCACCCTCATACCGGACGGGGTAATGAGGTCTATGTTTTGGCGCCCATACCGGACGGGGTATGGGGACGGCCCTGGAATGGATTTCAAGTGTTAAAGATTAACGGGTAGCGGGACTCCTATGGATCCCCATGGATACTAGTGGGCTGGTGAATCAGGAAAATATGTTGTGTAACGATTAAATTACAAAAAGTTTGATAGGTATTATGTTATACAGTTCATATATATGTTTTCATGATGATGATGATGTTATTGCTTTCGTATATTGTTTTATGAATTTCACCGAGGTAAGTGAATGGTAAAGGTTTTATTATTAATAAAAGGATTTGTTGTAAATTATGCTCCATTGGTCTTTTTATGTTTTCTACCCACCTTTACCTCCGTGACGGTGAGATATCGTGATGTCTTTACTGGGCTAGTGTAGCTCATTCCTTATTTAATCATTTCAGATCAAGAGAACATCGTTCCCGATCCGGTTCCGCAGGAGGACGACGAAGGGGACGCCTAAAGACTCCTTAGTCACATTCGTAGTTTTTTTACTTTCAAGTTTCTCATTTAGGTAGTTTAATCTTTTATATTTTGTGAGCACGTTTTTGGTTTTAGTGTAAGGGATGTTATTCAAATTTTGACTTCGCTTCCGCATTTGATATTTATAATATAATTTCCATTTTAAATTTCCGGGGTTGCTACAGCAAAAATATCTAGACTATTCATCCAAGCTACTCTATATGGTTATGGATGTGGTTTCTTCCCAAAACTGAGTTGTTTACTGTAGATATTGAAACAAGATTTCTGCAAAAATCTTCATGAACAACTAATTTTTTATATTTATTTCCACAATGGGCTACGTTTTGAAACATTGGAGGATGCTTTTGATCCTTTTTTACTTGAAGTCCATAGTTGTGCTTAGCTACTGTCAAGGAGTACTTGTCAATTCTATCATCCTTGAGTAATAAATCATCTCTTCCTTACAATTCTACATGTTTAAGCATATTTCACCACACAAACTCTTGTGAAGAGATTACAAATTAGGAAGAGCCTAGAAAGTACCTTGGATCTTGATGAAAACTTTTGAGAGGGGTAAAACGGTCTAGCTGAACTGATTTGGTCAAACCCGATTAGAAAAAGTTGGACAAAACATGATTTTGCAAAAGTCCATAACGGAGGTGGGAACATGGGCTACAAGAAATAATGGTTAGTGATTCTGATCTTACTTTTACAAGTTTATTTTGGATGTAACTATTTTGACTCAATGGGTCCAATTATCACTTATTTTCATTATTGCCCCACTCAGATGGTTGAACTAAAACAGTGAGTCGAAATGTTGAAATTCATTATTCACTTGTTACCAGCAATGCAAATGCGTGAATTGGCTATCCTGTCTTGTGGAGCCGGGTTGTTCTGAATGGAGAGCGTTGGATAGAAACAGAGCATAGGGATTCCATTTATCTTCTTTACAGGACTGGCTACTCAAAGCTTAAAATTCCATGTAGCACTATTATGATGCCCATCATCAGGATGGTAATTTTGAGGTTGGTGATTTGGCCCTTCCTTGCTTGTAACTGTATGAAGGAAGTTGTCTCCATGGTTTTATTGGTCTTATCTAGCCATGGACATAATTGGAAGTCTCACATACTAGCTGCAACTGCGTTTGGAATCCAAATTGCATCCCCTTTTTCTTGTTTCTTGCTTGAAGAGGTTCCCTGGCTCCGGGTATGCATCTTAATATAGGTTCTAGATATGCATCTATGATTCTTCTTCTTCTTGATAAAGGAATTTCTTTCCTACTCACAAGGCTCTACTAAATACTCGCTTTGGTGCTAGTAAGGAAGTTGGTTCCTTATTGTAGGGTGCATCAACATCGGAAATAGAAAAATATTAAGTCTTAGGTAATAATAGGTTGGTTTGCTTCAGATGTATGAGTATGTCTCTATGCTTTGGTTTTGGTGTCTTTATGCAAGTGTTTTATTGCTATTGAGTAGCACTTAGTGGTAGACACTTATTTGAGTTGTTTGAATAAATCTTTAACTGCATGAACTAGATGAGTTAGATCATAACTCGTAAGAATCATGTGTTGTGTTTCTCCTTTGACAAAATGACCATATATATATACAAGTTCACTAGAGCAATAAAGAAAACCAACAATTAATTACATAGGACGTATTTTACCATAATGCTCTTTGATATAATTCACTTAAATTAATTGCACACTGAGTACCTTCTTTAACACTCCTCAAAGTGATGAATAGATATTATTGATTCCCAATTAGGTAATGAGAGTATGGAAGGTTAGATTATTTAAGTATTTAGTCAATGCATCTGCAAGTTATAAGTTGGTAGACATGTGCACTATACATTTCAAGCCATTCTTTAGCTTTTCTTTAATAAAATACCTATCAATTTTAACATGTCTTGTCCTGTCGTGCTGTGATAAATTGTGAGTAATACTTAAATCTGACTTATTGTCACAGTAGAGACGCATGAGACTATCTCAATTGAATCTCAGATCTCCTAGGATCTTCTTCAATCATAATAAGTCACATATTCCTTGTTCCATTGCTCAGAATTTTGTCTCTACACTCGATCTCGTAACTACTTTTTGTTTTTTGGTTCTTCATGTGACCAAGTTACTGATCTTGCGTAGTCTGCGTCAATATAGGCTTCAAGATGTAACTTGTTATTTCTTTTGAATATGATACCTTTCTCGGGTGTCATCTTCAAGTAATGTAGCACTCTGTAGGCTACTTGTAAGTGCATGTTTTTAGAGTTGTGGAAGAATTGACATATCACACTTATTACATCGGTCTTGCGTGTGGAAGATATATTAATCTTCACTAACATCTAATACATCTTATCTACCTCTATGTCTTCTTCTGCTAGTTGTAGTTTGTGGTTGAGATCAGTAGGATGATTAGCAAGTTTTACATGTAGCTTACCTGTATTCTTTAGCAAATCAATAATATATTTTTGTTATAAGATGAGGATTCTTGATTTTGAGTGAGTAATGCCAATCCCAAAGAAATACTCCAACATTTCCAATTCCTTAATCTCAAACTCCTTGGTTATGCATTGTTTGAACATCAATTTTTTTTTTTATCATCACCTGTCATAATAATGTCATTAACATTATATTAGGAGAGTTCCAACTTCCTCTAATCTGAGTGCTTGATAAACATGATATGGTCTCTTTGACTCTACTTGTATCCCAAGCGAAAAATTTCTTTTAATCTAACAAACTATGCCCTTGATGATTGTTTGAGCCCAAAAAATGCTTTTTTTAATTTACACATTTTATTTTTTTCTGCCTCTCTAGTAAATTTTTATGGAATTTCATGTAAATTCTTTTTATATTATCCCCGTGCAGAAAGACATTTTTTACATCAAATAGTTGCAATTGCCAATTTAGAGAACTTAGGGAATTTAGAGAATCTAATCGATAAATTAATTGATTTGTAAATAATTTGTACTTGAGTTGGTACTCTCTTGGCCCATATTAATACAACATACTATACTTTTATTAAAAGAAAGTTGCAGTTGTTAGTTGAAGTGGACAACTAGTGATAACAGGACTTGCGCTATATTCATCTTAGCAACTGACATGAATGTCTCTTGATAATCTATCTTATAAGTTTGGGTATAGCCTTTGGCTGTTAGGCTTGTTTGACCAGATGATTCTCTTGGTTGACCAAGCGATTCCATTATTATCAAATCTTCCTCATCCCAGGCATCAAATTGTGAGTCTCCTGCTTTAGATCCTGTGCAAAACCTAACTTATTTTCCCTTTTCCTTTAAGGATGGTCCAAATCAGTTATGATCAATTCAAGTAATTTTTCCATTTAAGCAATAGGTAGACTGAATGGGCTGAAATTTCCTGTTGGAATGTTGCGAGTTTCCCATATTGAGATTTATGTTAGTAACTTGAGATGTAACATCTAAAATGATTTAAAATTTTTCAAGACTATAAAGGTCGATTTAATAAGATGGAAACAGAGATTACTGGATGAACAAATAGCTGAAAAGAAGGTTGCACCCGGACAGAATCAGTGGTTGCTGTGGGACAGAGGCGCTACTGGAGGGACACGCTAGGTGGCTGACACATGTCTGGAGGTGTGTGGCTGGCTGACAGATGCATGGCTGGAGGTGTGCGGCTTGGTGGCAGAGGCGTCTAGGAGATGTGCTGGCTTGCTGGTGCCCGCTGCTACAGGTAGCAGCAGGTTGGTGAGGCGAGTTAGCTTGTTAGTGTGCGCAGCTGCAGGTAGCAGCTGCTTGGTTTTATTTGGTAGCTGGCTATGAAGGCTAGTGGCGGTAAGAGTGGTGGGTAGTTATGAAGGCTATTCCCATTGAGAGTTTTTTTTTTTTTCTTTTTCTTTTTCATTATTATTTTGGCAATGAAGGCGGATTAGAATTTGTAAAAGAGTTTGGGTATACCTCTGATATTATGTCAAGAATAAGGTATTGTATTTTCTATTGAATAATATGACCATATATATATATGTACATTCTCCAGAGAGACTGGAAATGGATAATTAATTGCATAGAACATATTTTATCATAATGCCCTTTAATCTAATTTACCTAAATTAACTACATATAAAGTATGTAATAAACAGTTGTGCTAGCTATTTTAATAAAAACTTCGATTTTACTGCAATGAAATAGATTGGAGAATTATTTACCATTTTCTTTACTATAGATTCTAGAGATCTTTGGATTCTGGACAATCAACTTAAGGCTAATTACCAAAATATGGCAGAAAGGAAGAAAGAACCAAAAGAATACTTGCAAGCATCCTGTTAATTTTCATCTACAGGGTTCTACAACTAGATCTAAGGGCTTGGATATACCACCATTATTTTGCAGTTTAATGTTTTCCCACATCTATGCCAACGAGCATCCATTGGCATGATTAGTAATTGATTGGTTCTGTTCTGCAGATGGGACCTTTGGAATGGATAAAATACTGCAGTTTTTGGATTATAACAAGTTTCCATTGGTTACAAAACTGAGTGAAGTCAATTCTGCCAGGGTTTACTCTAGTCGTCTCAAACATCAGGTTTGGTTTCTTTATATTTTATTTTCCAATAACTTCTTTCTCTTTGGTTCCTACTCTAATATCTAGTGCTACTTTGGCTTAAAAATATGATCACCTAATTGATGATTGCCAAGGTAACAAATAAGAAGAATCTTTAACACCATTGAAAATTTTAAATTGTAAAAGAATCATCTTAAATGATAATGAGAGCATGTTTTTAGCTGAGATAACTAAGGGGATTCCGGAGGATGATGTTCTTCTTATTGAACAAATTGAGTAATCTAGTAATAGATCTCTCATTTAGTAATAATGAATAATGTCATTTTTCAGGATAAGTTCGTAGTATTCAACTTGATTTGGAGATAAAGAGCCATCATCTGAAACGAGCACCACCTTTTTTTTGTGCTTCTAACTATATTAAGCAAAATTTGGCGATTCCTTTTGTTGATTTCATCATGCCTAATTGGTTCATTGGTCTTTCTTAAGCATTCTTGTTTTATTACATGTTCAAGGCAAGTCCAAAAGGTTTTACATTATTACTATTTCGACATTTGATGAAGTGGGATAGAATGGTGCTAAGTAATAATATTCTTAGACAAAAATGTCTCGATATTATGATGTATTTATGTAATTGTAATATTTATGTTACTTTTAGGATATTAGGAAATTAAGGATACTACGAACTATTAAGAATGACTTTGTGATGTGTATTCTATTAAATATTACAACTTTATATACAAGTTTTTTAGGAAGGAAAATAAAATTTATAATAAATTACAAAAGTTGTAATTTATCTTTATATCTTTAACTTAATTTATAAAGGTATAATTTACCATTTAATCTAATTTACCATCTCTTTAATATTTTCCATCAAGTTGGAAAATAGATGTTGTCCATCTGCAACTTGTTAATAAGAGACTGAAATGCGAGATTGCTTAAGTTTTTAGTTAACACATCTGCTAGTTGAGAATTGGTAGGTATGCATAGAATTCATGCTAGGCAGTTTCAAAATTTTTTTTTTTGATAAAATGTCTATCGCTTTCAATGTGTTTGGTCCAGTCGTGTTGTACTAGATTGTGACCGATGCTCATAGTCGAGTTGTTATTACAGTACAGACACATTGGGTTTTCCCACTTGATTCTAAAGTTTTCTAAAATTATTTTTATCCATAGTAGTTCACTTAGTTTTTGTTCCATTGTTAGAAATTCTGATTTTGCACTTGATTTTGTAATTACATTTTGTTTCTTACTTCTCCAAGTAACTAGATTGCTCCTAGGGAAGATACGTAAGCATGTAGTAGATCTTCTGTTTACAACTGACCCTGCATAATTTGCATCATTATATGCTTTTGGGAGTAATTTGTTATTCTTTCTAAACATAATTCATTTTTCTAGTGAACTTTTTACAGTATTCTGTAGATTACTTGTAGGTGTACTTCTTTTGAATTGTGCATGAATCGGCTTATGAAACTTCATGCATAAGCGATGTCTAGTCTCGTGGAATAGGCATATCAGTACGTAACTAATCTTTGATATATTTCCTTGTTTAGTAGCATTTTTTTTTTTTAATTCCTACTTTCTAATTAGGATTAATAGAAGTAGTGACTGGTTTGCATGCTAGTTTGTCAGTGACTTTTAATATGTCATGAATGTATTTCTGTTGATAAATAAAAATTCTAGATTTATAGTACTCTGTAAATTGTTTGTAGGTGTACTTCTGTCGAATTGTGCATGAATCGATTTATGACACTTATTGGATAGGTGTTGTCTGGTTTCGTGTGGAATAGGCATATCATACCCAACTAATCTTTGACATATTTCTTTGTTTGATAGCATATCTTCCTCAGCAATTCCTACTTTGTAATTAGGACCAATAGGAGTAGTAGCTAGTTTGCATGCTAGCTTGCCAATAACTTTTTAACATATCACGAATATATTTTTGTTCAGAAATAAAAATCCAGATTTAGATTAGACTACTTCAATTCCCAGAAAATATTTTAACTTATCTATTTCCTTGATTTTGAATTCTTTTGACAGACGCTACATTAGTGTTTGTTGTTCCTTCTCATCATTTCTTGTTATAATTATGTCATCAATGTATATTAGGAGAATTGTAACTCCCTTTGTCTCTGAATATTTGACGAATAGAGTGTGATTTTCCTAAGTCTACTTATATTTCAGATCTGTTATCACTTTTGTGAACCTGCTAAACCATGCTCTTAGTGGTTTCTTGAGTCAATACAAAACTTTCTTTAGTTTACATACATTATTTGATCCTATTTTTCTGTCAAAATCTGGTAAAATATCCATATAAATTTTTTCTTCTAAATCTCCATGAAAAAAAATATTTTTTACATCAAACTATTGTAATTGTTAGTCAAAGTGGACAGTTAATGACAACATGATTTACATAGTGTTCATCTTGACTATTAGACAGCTAATTTAACATTCCTTTAACATGAACTATTAGAATAGGCTCCTTATTGGTAGGAGGGTTATTTCTTTAAGTATTTTAGTCATATTACAATATGATGTGAAATGGCTTAAGTAGATTGCCTAAATAGATTAAAAACTATAGTTCTACTAAATATGAAACTATTGTACTATTCAGAAATCTATTGTTATAGTTTTTGTAACTTTATAATTTTATTTCTATGAGCTGTATCACTTCTCAATCCTATTAATATTGGTACTTCTTACAAATGTTATTTAAGAAGCATTGCAAATGTCTTTATAATTTTACTTTTGGGATATGCTTCAGTTATTCAATTAAGTACTTTGAAATTTTCTCATTTTTCTTGTAGTGAATGCAATCAAACTTTAATTGGTAGTACTTCTAACTTTTTTTATTGTAACATGTAAAATTTTTTTATTTAGTTTTCCTATTTGTATTAGCAGTATTACTTCCTAATCCTATTTGTGTCAAAAAGTTTATATTCTTAATTGGAGTTTTGTATTATCAGGTTTATGAGCATGCTTATTCGGTCACATTTGTAATTTCTTTCTTTTTCTGTTCTTTTCTTTTTCTGCTTCTGCTTAGGTTTTTATCTTTGCAAAGGCTGATGAATTCCATAATCTTCTTCAACCTCTTGAAGATGTTGCAAGAAAGTTCAAATCAAAGGTATTTATTTTGACTAAATTATGAAGATTGTAGGAAGCGGCCCTGTATAAATTTTCAATTGTAATCTCTTTGATGCAGGTAATGTTTGTATATACAGACATAACAGATGAAAATCTTGCAAAGCCCTTCTTGACTTTGTTTGGGCTAGAAGATTCAGAGAACACTGTGGTAATTTTTCAAATGACTAGTAATTTGCTTACTACGTTCGGAGTTTTAGTAAAAGAAACTATACTCAAGCTATAAATTTATGCAATATCTTTCTGCCTGTCCAATAGGTGACTGCTTTCAATACCAATGTCAGCTCAAAGTTTTTGTTAGAGTCAGATCCATCATCAGGAATATAGAGTAACACTTGCCTACTTGATTTCTCCTTTTCATAATTATCTGATTAAGCAACTCATATAGTGTCTAAAATCTGCTTGTGTAGGAATTTTGCTTGGGACTTCTGCATGATACTCTGTTGCCTTACTTCAAATCGCAGCCAATACCAGATAATGTGGGTCTCCCATTTTCTTTGTGAAATCTTTTCTTGGAGAAAGATGTTAGATAATTCAAAAGGGATCTGGTTTCATCATTAGTATTTATATGCTTTAAGTAACATCTAATCTTTTTTGCATGTTTACTTTCATGTGTCTTGTATAGGAACTTGAATCCACCATTTGCAGTACCTATAGAACTTTATATATCATGTCTTTCAATGAGGTTTATGTTATCTCATGTGGTAGTGTCTACCTTTAAAATTTTCAGCAAAATGCAAGTGTCCTGGCTATTGTGGGGAAGACATTTGATGAGCTGGTGGTGGACAGTCCCAAGAATGTTCTTTTAGAGGTTTGCTTGCTCCATCTTTTTTCTCTTCTTATAGCTTCTAGTGGTAAAAGGTTTCTATATATTATACCAGTATCACCTTATGAAGTAATGACTCATGTCTGCTCCATAAAAAGTGCCATCCCAGGCATGCCACATGTATGACCGTAACAGACATTTAAAACCTGTCTGCTACTTCTTGAGTGCCTTAGGTTTTCATATTTCTCAGGAGTGAGTTTTTTTAGTCCCTGGAAATCTTAATTTTTCTGTTCCAAAAAACAGGTGTACACACCATGGTGCCTCAACTGTGACACCACAAGCAAGCAAATTGAGAAGTTGGCTAAGCACTTCAAAAGTTTGGATAATCTAATCTTTGCAAGGATAGATGCTTCTGCAAATGAGCATCCAAGGCTGCAAGTAAAATTCTTCATATAATCATACTTCATATTTTCAGTTGTTGTTCTCTTCAAAAACGTAGTAATCCCGTAAATATGGCGATGTTATATATGCTTGAACTTATTAGGGATACTCGAGCAGACATCCAAACTAGTAGTTTTCAATCGCCAGATGGATCATTTCTAAGATTTTATTAGGCTTTTTAATTTGTCAACTGGTAGACAAGATCAAACAGATCTTTCCTCAGTAACTTGTGCTTGTCGAATTTAATCTATGGAGGGCACCGACACTCCTTTTAATTTTAATTCAAGTTTCTTAGTTTCCTCCTTTTTCATATATGTTAGCTATTTACTTTTTATCATTTATTCCTAATTTAAATATTAGAATATATTGAATCAATGTCACTCATATGTCTAGTTATATAATAATAAATTTGTATTTTTATTTGTCAATATACTAGTAACAAATTAATTTTAGTCGAACAAAGAATTGACTTGGGCTAGAATACTATTTTTGTTTAAATCTTTGACTGCATTCCAATTTTTATTGAAAGAAAATTAAAATTTGAACCAGGTGCCACTTTATTATTAATGCAGGCGGATGATTATCCTACAATCTTACTTTACAAAGCTGGTGCTAAAGACAATCCAGTAAATATCTCCGAGCTGAAGCTTTTTTTTTTCTTTTTTCCAACTTGAAGGTGTGCTCCAGTCTACTGACCATGTTTTTTTGAATTGCAGATAAAAATTTCAACCAAATATAGCTCAAAAGAGATGGCAATGTTTATCAACAAACAGTTGAGAGGCAAGGAAGAAGCAACCAAAGACGAACTATAGAAATAGAAAAGGAGAAAACAGAAGCAATTTTTGTAGAAACTATAACACTCAGAGCATTGGTGAGTATTTATTTGTTGTAATAAATTGAAACAATCATAGTCCACAGAAATATAAGCTCAAGTAAATTATATCTAGCGTGAAAAATATTGATAGATGCTGCAAATTTAGTCGCCAAATTATTTAGTTTATGGTGAATGGAAGTGTTTTTCTTTTTGAAGAAAAGCTTCTGTGAAAATGTTTATCTGAGTAATATATTATGTTGAGTTTCTGCAAATTCTCGGGTTTAACTCTTGCCAATGATTTCCTCGTTTTTGTTTCTCTAATGAACACGTTGTTATCGGAGGGGGTCAAATTTTCCTTCCCTTCCTTGTTTTTGCTGGTTTTTGATTAATCTGGTGAAGTCAACAAACAACAATCATAATAATATCACCATTGGCTGGTCTGTACATGACAGGCAAAGTGTTAAGAGTTTCATTTCATTCATGCCTACAGATGATCTTACTAATCATCTTCAACATTCATCCTCAACCAAAATAGATCTTCTTTCTCTTCCACTCCGAATCAGAAACAAAAAACAAGCAACACAAACTAAAATTTCACTACAATCTTAAACCATCCGATAAACAAAACCAAGAAAAATTTGTGGCCTCTCAACTCCTAGCTTTCTCTCACTCAAACAGGCTCAAGATTTTCTTCCCTTCTTTTTTCTCTCTATCTCGGTTTCAGCCTTTTAATGATGAGAGAATATATTGATTATTTTCAGTACTAAATCTTACTAGTTAGAGAAAATTCAATTAATTTTTCTTTTTTTTTAAAAAAAAAAAAAACTTATACACTTCATTGAAAAATACAAATGAATTAGCATGTCTATAAATGTGATTGATATTTGTATATTTTAAATTTTATATTTAAATATATTAAATAATATTTA